GGCTTGATGGCTTTAAGTTTTGTTCCAGTGCAGCAAGCACAGGCCACATCTTCAGGTCCAGCAAAGCAGAGATCAGCAGGAGCAGCTTGGAGTCCAGTCTTCTTCAGCTGCTCCACTAAAGCTGCTAACATGGTGTTTTTCTCCAGATCAGGCCTCGGTATAAAGTTTTTCCTGCACTGAGGGCAGCTGTGGATTCCTTTCTGATCCTCTTCATTAAAGTGATCTGTAATACAGCTCATACAGTAACTGTGTCCACAGGGAATAGCCACTGGATCCTTCAGTAGTTCCAGACAGATCGAACAGGAGAAGGTTTCTGGGTCCAGCTGCTCCATCTTTTCTCTCGGTCACAGTGACTGTGTGAGTTTCTATCTCATAAAAATCTTCTGTGAGCATAGAATCCATTTATGAGAATGTAGTATGACAGCTCTTACACAGTTAAGTATGATGGTTACACCCACATTCAACTCATAGTTCTGAAGAAGGAATGTGGACAGACTGACACTGTTGACAGGAGGAAGTTGGGGAAACTACCTGACATTAAATCAAGGAAAAGGAGCTTTTGAGGAGGAAATAATTACTATTGACAAATATATTTTGTCTATTTTTTCCAATTCTTCTACTTGAATCAATGCAACATGATTTTTTTGTTGGTATTTTGTAGACTTTTGTCACAAGTGTTTATAAAAATGACAATGCTCAGTTAGGATGTCAATTGCATCATGGCAATCAGGGAGTCGAATCCTTTCTAAAATATAAAAGCAGACCTATACAGAACAGCTCTTTGCTCCAGTAAAAACAAACAATCTTACAGTTTCTAAAAAGATAGCACCTAATACAACCGTAAACAGTTCATATTCTGAAATCCATAACTTGTTTCCTTTATTTCTTTGTCCCCAGGTTCTAAAAAAACAGTTTTAGTTGTGCTGTTCACCAAAAAGAAATAAATAATTATTTACAGCCTCAAAAATTCAAGAACATAAATTAGTTCCCAACTAGATTAAATAGAGCTGGACATTAGGCCAATGTGCCACAGTCTGGCTTATGCCTCGCAGACTTATGTATCTGGGACAAGCACAGCAAACCTAGCAAAGGCATTCAGGGATGACCAAGAGGCTGCTGAGCAAAATCCTCCAGAGGGACACCAGTCATAGCGGCCCATGACACACTAATGCCCCTGGTGGAATGGCATCTTACACGCATCCAACATGCAAGGCACTGTTTAGAAAGGGCCTGCCCCTTGCGGGGCCCTGCATAGCAAACAAACAGATTATCCGACTGCCGTAGAGAAGCTGTGAGTCTGACATATGCCTTCAGTGCCCGAACAAGGCAGAGAAGCTCATCAGGCCCATCCATATCACAGTGAGCAAGCTGGAGGGGCACAGTGTGGCTCGCGGATGAAGCCACCTTAGGAAGAAACGGCGCATCAGGCCATAGAGTAACACCCGAACCAGCCGGGTTCCAACAGCAGCAGGACTCATGAACAGACAAGGCATGTAGTTCACCCACCTGTTTTGCTGAGGCCATGGCGAGGAGAAAGGCTGTCTTCTTTGACACACACTCAAGGCTCGCCTCTGCCAATGGTTCAAAAGGAAGAGAGCGCAGGGCAGGACAAGAGAGAGGTCCCACACAAGCACAACAGGGCGTGTGGGAGAGTGCATACGTCGGGCACCTCTCAAAAACAAGGAAACGTCCTTGTTACGACCCACTGTCTCCCCACTCACCACCTAATGCCAGTAAGAGGTGGCAGCAATATAAACTTTCAGAGTGTGTCTGATGTCCCCGCCATACTCTGAGAAGGAAACCCCGGGCCCTGTAGTGGCCAAACCCAAAGTTGGAGGTGACTGGGATTGGGATGCAGGATCTGACCTCTCAGCTGTGACAGAAGGTCCTTCCTGCTGGGATGAGGCATTGGAGAGCTGCAACAGAACCTGTAGCAGTGGAAACCAATTCCTCCCTAGCCACCGGGGGGCCACAAGAAGGAGCTGATGCCACTCCTGAGGGTCCGTCAGTGAAAGCGGCTGGAATGCATAGAGCAGTGCCCTGGGCCAGCCGTGCGACAGCGCTTCCTGACCTAGGGGACAGGCACCTTCTGCCAGGGAGAACCAAAGTGGTCAATGGGTCGTCTCACCAGACGACGCATTGCCCGCACCAGAACATTCCTTCCCCGCAGGATCGGAGGAAGTGCCACAATGCGGGCTGCACAGCCTCCAGCTCCAGCGCGTTGATGTGGTGCAGCTTTTCCAATGGAGACCATGTCCCCCGAGCGATCTGTCGCTGTCACAACACCCCCCATCTTGTGGTGGACGCATCGGTAGAGACAACCTCCCAACGGGATGGCAGCGAACCCAATGAAACCCCCCTCATCATGAATGCTGCATCTCGCCATGGAGCCAGTGACGCGAGGCATTGAGGGGACACCCGCAGTTTTCTGCGACGGTGTGACGCACGAGAAGGGTCCAGCTTCAGGCTGTTGAGGCACATCTGCAGTGGTCGCAGAGACAGTAGTCCTAGGTGTACTACAGTAGCAGCAGCCGTCAGCTTTCCCAGCAGACGGAGATAGAGAACGAAGGGGAAGAAAGGGAGGCAGCATCTACAGAATGCCCTCGACACGCTGAGGCGATGGGCAAGCAGTCATAGAGAGAGAGTCCATCGTGATACCGAGAAACGTTACCTGCTGAGACGGAATCAGGTTGCTCTTCTGCCAGTTCACACAAAGACCCAGTAGGTCCATATGATCGAGCAAGGTGCGCGTGTCTGTATCGGATTGAGCATCTGTGGTTGCAGAGCTAGGCAGTCGTCCAAATAAGGCAGGATCTTCAATCCCTTGGCCTGCAGAGGACACAAGGCAGCGGCCACGCACCGCATGAACACATGCGGGGAAAGAGAGAGGGTGAATGGGAGAACTCTGAACTGAAAATGCTTCCCCTGAAATGCAAAGCGGAGAAACTCCCAATGCTGTGGTGCAATCGGGACATGAAAATATGCATCTGTCAAGTCGACCAAGGTGAACCAGTCGCCTGGGGAAATTGCCTGAAGCACATCTCTGATGCTCAACATGTGGAAGGGGATGGATTTCAGGAAAAAAATTCAGACCTCTCAGGTCCAAAATTGGGCGGAGTCCCCAGTCTTTTTCGGGACTAAAAATACTTTGAGTAAAAGCCCCCTGGATCCCGCAGAGGGTCGATAGGCAATATTGCCCGTCAGCTCAAAATTACGACATGTAGTTGTTATTGTGGTGGAAATTACTGTGAAATATTCACAGTAACTTAATATAATATATTTACAGTAAAATACTGTGATATATTCCCTGTTCATTGCCGTGAAATTACTGTTAAAGTAATGATTTTTAAGGCATAATTGGAAGCATGAATGGCATCATATTCACAGCTTCTTCACTAACGAATGTTGTTATATGGACGCCTGTATCCATTTACTGAAGCTTTTATTCACAGGAAACAAAACATACAAAGACAGAAATAATCAAAAAATGATAATTTTATTTGTAGTGACTGTAAACAGATTTATAAAATACATTTGATTCTAATGAAGGGTTAATAAACACATGCCATGTATACCCCTAAGACAATCCAGACTGTTTTCATGTGTTGTTCCAAGATGGTGGAATGACCTACCAAGTGCTAAAAGAACAGCAGGGTCCCTGTATATCTTCAGGGAACTCCTAAAGACCCACGTCTTCAAAGAACTTCTCCTATCCTGACTTTTACCCATACCTCTTTACCCCTCTACAACTCTTTCTGCACTTCCCTCAATCTCTTTGCTGTCACCACTGATTCTGACTAGAGATTTTCCTTTAGAGAGCTTATTTTCACTTTGATGGTAACTGTAGCATTGTGTCTACTTTGTAAGTTGCTTTGGTTAAAAGCATCTGCTAAATGCATAAACATAAACAAACATGTATCAAAACAACCTTTATAAAGTATAGACTCTGTATACAAAATGACAATGAAGTTTGTCTAAGTTTTGGAGAATTTAAATTTACATCAATCTCACCAAATGTTGATTCTCTCTATTTGGGTTTACAGAGCTCTGCAGAGGCTTTCTCGTATCCAACCCAAAATCCAGCATGTAGCGGCTGAGTGAATGTGGTCTGGACTCTGTGGAGCAGAGTCATGGTTTTAGAGACGCTGTAGAAGGACAGAATACCTGCTGAGTGATCCAGGTACACTCCTATTCTGGAGGAAACAGGACCTGAGATGGAGGTCCACATGTTGTGACCAAATTCATAACTTTTGTGGAAACAAAATAATGCCCAAGATTTGTCATTACATCCAAATTTACATTCATTCCCTTTTCCTACCCTGCTTATATTCTTGTATGCGACTGCTATATAAATTCTCCCTCGCCTCTCCACCTCCCAGTAATGACGCCCAGTCAGACTCTCTCTACTCAGGACCTGAGAGTAATAAGTGAATCTGTCTGGGTGACCATAATATGACTGATGTTCATCTACTCTAGTTACTTTCTTATTCCCTTCTGATAGACACAGATAATTGTGTGCTGTGTTTGGATCCAGTGTGATTTCACATGAATATTTTAAGAATTCAGATCTCCTTTGTGGTTCTGGTTCTGACAGTAGAACCTCCTCCTCAGTGATTATCAGTGAGATGTTTGTCAATGTGTCTCTCAGAATGTCCTGCATTTTATCTCTGAGCTCTGAAACAGCTGCTGTCACATCCTCAAAGTGTCTCAGAGGACGGATATTGATGCTGGATGAGTGTGTAGACTCACTGAGTGCTGACAGTAAGGGGTAGCTGTGGAGAAACTGGTTGTGATCCTCTGTGTTTAAGAGCTGCTTCAGCTCAGCTTCTTTCTTCTTCAGCTCAGTGATCTCCTGCTCCA